AAATGTGGGAATAGACCTCCATCTGCAAATGGTCATCCCCCTATGTCTAATTTGTTTAGGAGAGGACCATCTTGTAGGCGTCTGCCCATATGTTCAGATCTTCAATAAGTTGTCATTACACAATAGCTCCTTTGTGAATAGATTGGCGGATTCTGCCACTTAAATTTATGGATGAGGTTTGACAGATAACTGTACGTTCAATTGTCTGTTCTGTCTCTTCTGCTAAATGATGCCAGCAGTCTACTTTGGCTCAAACTCATAATGCCCCATCAATTCATGAATCCCTCACTTTCAGATATCTGCAATTTATTATAATAATGATGATGATGATGATGATGTTGGAAGGTACCTTGGAGGTCATCTAGTCCAACCCCCTGCTCAGGCAGGAAACCTATACCATTTCGGACAAATGGCTGTCCAGTCTCTTCTTAAAAACTTCCAGTGTTGGAGCATTCACCGCTTCTGGAGGCAGGTTGTTCCACTGGCTAATTGTTCTCACTGTCAGGAAATTTCTCCTTAGTTCTAGGTTGCTTCTCTCCTTGATTAGTTTCCATCCGTTGCTTCTTGTCCTGCCATCAGGTGCTTTGGAGAATAGCTTGACTCCCTCTTCTTTGGGGCAGCCCCTGAGATATTGGAACACTGCTATCATGTTCCCCCCTCGTCCTTCTCTTCATTAAACTAGACATACCCAATTCCAGCAGCCTTTCCTTATATGTTTTAGCCTCCAGTCCCCTGATCAACTTTGTTGCTCTTCTCTGCACTCTTTCTAGAGTCTCAACATCTTTTTTACATCCTGGTGAGCAAAACTGGATGCAGGATTCCAAGTGTGGCCTTACCAAGGCATTGTAAAGTAGTATTAACACTTCACGTGATCTTGATTCTATCCCTCTGTTAATTTGTAACACATCTTTCTGAATTCCGAGTTATCCCTTCCACATTGGATACATGGAAGATGAAAAAGAAGCAATTCCTTAGCGTTCTCAAATCAAAAGACTGGTTCCGGTCTTTCATCTCATTCTACTCCGCCACTTGAATTTTGTTGGATGTCTCCGTTTTGGTCTTGACAGCAACCGAATCTGAAGAGTTTTGTGATGTATGTATATATTTTCTGCATTCATCTGATGAATTAGGTTCAATCCTACAGTTGTAAGAAGGCGAGGGAAAGGGTGGTGATGAAGGATTGCTTGGTTAACCCAGGAGATGTGGAAACATTTTTTTTTTAAATTGCAGTAAATACTTAAAAACAAAACCAGGAAGAAAAGCCAAAAAAAAAAAAAGAATTTAAGAAAAAGATTTGCAAGCGGTAAAAAATTGAATAGAAATGCCAAAGTAATATTAGACCTGAACTGCATTTTAAAGTACCTTGAACAATTTATGACTTCAGAACCATTGTAAAAATCAAGTTAGCATCAGTGAGTAAATTAGTAGAATATGAATTGTAAATCGGAATGAAAGCTAATCAAGGTTTCTGTCTCACCTAAAAAAATACATCTGTATTTAACAAATGAAGCAAAAGCTAACGCGTTAAAGAAAAACCCAACTTTGCATATAAAACTTTGCATATATTACATGTCTGTATGTAGAATTATAGTCCATAAATGGCTTCCAACTTGAATTAAAATCTGTTTCAGACTTTTTCTTTTTCAGATTTTATTTTTGACAGTGACACATGAGCATACAACTTATTTTGGCATTCTATTAAAGAGGGAATTATGTGTGATTTCCAGTAAAAGACTTAAAAGTATCCTGGCAACGGTCACCAATAAACAAAGCCAATTTGGTATATTTTGTAGTGATAGATGGTTTTGGTGCTGTTCAACTGAAAGACATCTGGGAAGAAAGAGAATTCAGCCTTAAAATTTATTTCCTTCTAAAATAAACTGTCTTCCAGCACGGTTAAGCTTTACAGCCTTGCCCCCAGATATTAAAACACACACACACACACACACACACACACACACAAAAAAAACCACAGACTTTTGTGAGCTACTTGGGTCATTGAGAATTAGAGGGCATAAACATTTTGTCTTTACTACATTTCCAAAAGGTTCTAGATCTAGATGATCCATTTTGTTCCTCATCAGTGGAGTTATAGTTCAGTGTAAAATGTCTTGGTAAATTTAGTATTTATCTTCCAGTGATGCCCCCTTTGTGGGGGTAAATTTAATATTTATTTCCCAGTGATATCTCCCATTGTTACACATTAATTATTTGGTTTCAGTTGTGCATCCATTTAAATACAGTAGACTGTTGCTGTTCCGTCACTATTTCTTGAGTTGAAAAGATTGGGAAGATTTAAATCCATTTTCAGCCACGCAAGCTCATTGGGTGACTTTGGCCTCATCACCCTCAACTCTTAATCCCAACAATCCTGGTGTGAAGGGAAGTCCCACGAAAGCCACGTTCAGCCCCTGGAGAAAAAGCAGGAAATAAACCAATATGGTTGAGCCGTGGACTGTTCCTTGAGTGCCTTGGGGCCACCCCACTAATATGGCTGTCCCATTTCTGCAGATGGAGATTTTCACACAATAGACCAGGGGTCTTCAAACTTGGCCCACGTGCCTGGCTGAGGAATTCTGGGAGTTGAAGTCCACAAGTCATAAAAGGCCCAAGTTTGAAGACCCCTGCAATAGACTGACACATACTCAAGCTTCCTTGTAAAGTAGGGGTCCCCAACCGTGGCAACATTAAGACTTGTGGACTTCAAGTCCCAGAATTCCTCAGCCAGTCATGCTGGCTGAGGAATTCTGGGAGTTGAAGTCCACAAGTCATAAAGCCATGGTTGGAGATCCCCATTATAAAAGAATGGGTTGCCATTTGAACCTCTGGGAAATCAGTCATTTATTGACAGATGAACAGGAGATGGTACCTGTTTTTTTTTTTCTGCACATGCAGCTTGAATGGTAAGCAAAATATTGGACCAAAGACAACAAATGGAGTTGTGTGGTTGAGCCAGGAATTAGGCTGGGTCCTTGTGGTTCCAAATTCAGAAAATACAATTTAATACAAGCAATAAAGTACACAATCGGTTCTTCTTGATATTTTTAATTGGCGCTTAAATTAGGTTAATCTTCTTCAACAAAGACTTCTTACAATATGAAAGCTGTTTTTATTACAGTATGTGTTTGGATGGACTGTAGCTTTGCTTCCGTGGTTGTATAAAGTATTGCCTCAAAATACACACCCATCCACCTCTGATCATTTGAGGGTCAAGTCTGCAAAGAGAATAGCCAACAGGGAACGGAAATACAGGAGGCAGCAGCTGGGATAACTAGCTAGAGATAATGATAATTGGTAATTTGTAACACAGGTAATTGGGTGTGATACAGCTACTCTTAGGTTGGTAAGGTGATTATAAAAATGATGAGCCAGATGGTTAAAGATTTGCAGATTGATAGATAATTATTTGTACAGATGGATGGATAGATTTGGATAGATAGACAGCTAGACAGATATAGATCGGGGTGTCAAACTCGCAACGTCACGTGACGTGTCGCGACGTATCACGACTTTTTTGCCATTGGCAGCAATGGGGTAGGCGCGGTTTCGCTATGATGTTTGACACCCCTGATATGGATTGATAGATTTGTATAAGTTTGCGTAGATAGATTGATAAATAGATTTAGATTGATAGGTTGATAGCTTTGTACAGATGGATAGATTTCTGTAGATAGATTTAGACTGATAGATTTGTATAGATTTGTGTAGATTTAGATTGATGGATTTATGTAGATATAGATTTGTATAGATAGATTTGTGTTAGATAGATTTAGATTGATAGATTTGGATAGATAGATAGATAGATAGATAGATAGATAGATAGATAGATAGATAGATAGATAGATAGATAGATAGATAGATAGATAGATAGATAGATAGATAGTTGATGGATGGATGGATGGATAGATAGATAGATAGATAGATGATTGATACATGTCAGACAGACGGACAGACAGACAGACAGACAGACAGATAGATAGATAGATAGATAGATAGATAGTTGATGGATGGATGGATAGATGACAGACACATGACAGACAGACAGACAGACGGACGGATGGATATAGATAGTTGATGGATGGATGGGTGGATAGATAGATGATAGATACATGATAGACAGACAGATAGATAGATATCACAGCTCTTGTTTTCTTGGTTTGGAGAGGGGTTTTTTTTAGGTTTTTTTTTCCTTCATATTACTCTTTTCAATATCAGAAGATGGCTACGATCCCTAAGAATTCAGGATGTACTCATGAACACAGCCCTTCTTTTTTTAATTTGAAGTCCAAGAAGACTCTCTTTCTCTGGCTTCTCCAAAGAGTTAATAACAACTAAACTTTCTTTCCTCCTCCTCCTCCTCCTCCTCCTCCTCCTCCTCGGGTGCAGGCCGTCTTGCTAGCATTCCAGGTCTCTTGTGCTTTTAGCAACTGGCCCCCTTTAAGGAAGCTTGGCGAGGGAGCCAAGTACATTTAAGCCTTCCTCAGGCAGGAAACAGGAATTAATGTGCAGCGTTTCTCATCCTGTGGTTGAAAACTTTTGCTGCTAGGAAGGAAAGGGCAGCTGTGCGGAGCTGCTGCTTCTGCCGCTGTCGCCGCTGCCGCTCCTCTTCCTCCTCCCGAGGGAATTAAAATGCAGGTTTTCCAATGTTGTCTTGGGGAAATGGTACTCTCAATATTTATCTCAAAAGTCTTTATAGGTGCAAGCAAACAGTGGGTAGATAGAAAGGGTGTTTTATTTTTGGGTGGGGCGAGGTTTGAGAAGGTTCCCTGGCTGAGTTTTGCAAAAGCCGGTTGTGGCGGAGGAGAAAAAACAACGACGACGTTGGGATAGAAAGAAGAGGAATGCAATAACATCTCTCTCTTACTCAAAGCCTACTTCTCCCCTCCCTTCCTCCCCCTTATCAGTGTGTTCTTCGCTTCTGCTAACATGTCTAGCTCCTCAGCTATCTTGACAGGCAACGAGCCCTGATCCAAAACCACTTTTCTTTTCCGTTTCTTTAGAAACCCGACGTGAGGCTGTCCAGAGGGAGCATCGACCGCGAGGACGGAAGTCTCCAGGGTCCGGTAAGCTGACATCCATCCCATTTTTTTCTCGATGGGGAATGAGGATCCCATTCCCGTCTGCTTTCAGGAAACGAATTCCGATTCGTTTCAGATTGCCCCGATTATTATATTTCGGTGAGACGCTTGGCTGTTCCCCCACAACACGCCGGGAGTAACTTGTTTTCGCGCTGCCTCTGGAACCGACGCGTTCTCTTATCCTTGCAGGCAGCGCTTTCGTTATTTTTTAATAAACTGACATTATTTTTGGCCTCACGGATGGGTCGGGAAGATTGCACGTTGCTAATAGACTTCCAAAGAGGCTGTTCAGAAAAGCAAAATAGAATCGCTTTTGTGGGGATCCGATTTCACAAGTTTTGTGGCTTGCTCAATTTTCAGGGATTGGAAGGGAAGGTGGAAGTCCTTCCTGCTTGGGCTCTATGCAGGTAGCTTGTTTTTAGCAGAAAAGCTGTTTATTAGTAGATAATTCTGCTGGTCTATGATGGTCAGGAAGATTGGATTTGTCAGTAGATTAATGCTAAGCAGTTCTCTGGCGTTGCTAGGAAAGCTCTCAAAAAAGAACACTCCTAGGTAGCTGGATCTTATGTTTACTGTGTGTCCTTTTATGTTTCACACATGTACTATATTGCCAGAGGGGTGGTGTTTTGTGTGTGCTTCACATAGGAATGTTGGCAAGGGACCATCCATTGTGAGGAACCACTGTGACAATCCCTCGTAACACTGCGTAAGTGGAGGGCCTTCAACCCCCCTTGCAGACGACAAAGGTCTCCAGAACTGAAGTCCAAAAGGGTGTTTGCGTGCAAAACGTGGTGTCACAAACCCACACACAGGTGTCAGAATGCATAGATGGCTTAATTCAAGGGTAAAGTATGTTCAAAACTGAAAGCAAAATGGGATGCTTTTAAGTCGAGCAGTCCCCGAGAATTACTGATTTTAACAAAAAATGGTGTGCTGCAATTTGATTTTTCTGCTTATCAATTTATTTATATTTTATTTGAGACCCAGTTTCCAAAAAAAATGTGAATATCCAATTTTCTAGTACTTTGCTGTGATGGATTCAAGGCTCTAGATTTAAGGAGTCTGTTTTCTGCGTCACGGATTGCTTTATGTTTGCAATAAAAATGCCTTATGCTGATTTTGCCTAGCCTTGCTTTTCCCAGCAGCAATTACATTAGCAAACACAAGAAATCAACTCTGCTAATACACTTTTTTATAAAGGCGAAACACAAGCATGGTTTCCCAAGAATTAAACCCCCATCAGTACTCATAAGTGTCATTCTCATTGTTGATCAATGATAGAACAAACTTTTATTTGGTTTGGCCACCTGTTTTAAAAATCCCAAAGGTGCTTTTCCAAAAGGCAATTGGACTTCTTTAGATTTTTCTTTGAACATGTTTTGCTTCTCATCCAAGAAGCTTCTTCAGAAGTGATGATTGAGAATCGCTGTAGATATACTTCAAACATGTGACAAGATTTCAAATCAGTTATAAAACATTCCAAATAAATAATCCTGGACTTGTTTGTTTGCTTCTGTTTTATTGTACAACTGAGCAGTAATTACTATGAAAAATCTGTTCAACAATACGGAGAGGGCTATGATAAAGAGTTTTTCCAACTAGGATTATTACCTATAATTCATCTTAAAATTTTCAATATTTGGGGATAGCAGTTGTTGTAAATATGCCATTTTGTCTGAGTAACGATAGCAGTGACTTAGCCAGAGTACATCGCCACAAGACAGAGATAAAATAACTGGTTTGTCTCTTAACGTTAAAAAGAGATAAAATTATGAATGAAGCATAAAAACTTAATTGCCTTCCTCTGAAATTGGGGAAAGACAAACACTTTGGAAAAAAATAGGGTGTGGGGGATTAGCTGGAAGGGGGTTGCATTGTTCATAAACCTTTTTGTGTGGTTAATTAGATTCATTTCAATTATTATTATTTTTTTTTTGCAGGCTTCTAACCAGCACATTTATCAGCCTGTGGGCAAACCAGGTATGCAAGTCACAATGTCAACTTTGAGCCTCTCCTTCTTCCCTTCCCTTCCCCTTTTTGGGGAAATGAGTTTGAAGTGGTGGTGAAGAGGGAGGCACCATTTTAAGGAGCAAGCAGAATAGTTAAGTGGCCAGTTCCTTGAATGACACTCAGGAGTAACACGGGAGCTTTCGAATCCTCCCATCTCCAGCTGATGCTGATTTGAGGGCTCAGGGTTCTTTGTTTATTTTATTTATTAAATGCATATGCTGTCCATCTCGCCTTCAAGCAACTCTGCACAAAGGGGCATTTTAATAAAAAAGTAAGTCTCTACATGGCTTTACCTTTGGAGATGAGAAGAATCTGAGAAAGAAGCTCAGGGGCAAGATATTTATGCTTGGTTGCAGTATGAGAGCTTCCTTCCTTCCTCCCTCCCTTCCTCCCTTCCTTCCCTCCCTCCTTCCCTTCCCNTCCCTCCCTCCCTTCCCTCCTGCCTTCCTCCCTTTCCTTCCCTCCCTCCTTCCTTGCTCCCTTCTTCCCTTCCCTCCTTCCCTCCCTTCCTTCCTTCCTCCCTCCCTCCCTCCCTTTTCTCCCTTCCTTCCTTCCTTCCTTCCTTCCTTCCTTCCTTCCTTCCGCCTTAATGGTTCCATGTGGAAGTGGGCATCAAAGAAGCTTGACTCTCTTCTACAACCCTTGCTTGGGTATTCAGTGAATCTGATGCCCAGAGTCTCTGTCACGCACAGGAAATCAAGAGTCCAGGCAGTTTAGACGAGTACACAGTATGTGTTTATTTGTATACTAAAGCTCTCTACAAGAATCTGAGCTACTAAGGGTCAAAGCGAGTTGGCGGTAGATCAGAGTCAAAGGAATTCAAGGTGGGCTGGACTGAGATCTCTGGTGGGCGGGAAGGAACTCAAGACTGATGACACGTTTGACCCCCTCCTCCCTCGGGCTCAGCTTTCCCATCTCCCGCAGCCTCTGCCTTATCGTACCCAACGTCTTTTCTTCCTAGATCATGCTGCCCCGCCTAAAAAGCCACCACGCCCTGGAGCTCCCAGCCACTTGGGCAGCCTTGCCAGTCTCAACAACCCTGTGGACAGCTACAACGAAGGGGTTAAGGTACAACCGCCACTTGGAAGACTCGCTCGTTAGTCATCAAAAGGCACCAGTCAAAGGGGAGGGTGCTGTTACTACTCATGTAGAACAGGGCTTCTCAACCTCAGCTACAAGACGCGTGGCCTCCCAAATTCTCTAGCCGGCGTAACTAAAATCTGTTACGTTTGGGACAATCAGATACATAAAAGCGTTCGGGCCATAAAATGGCGGTTGAGTTGACATCGCCATTAGGAAACCCCGTATGTGTGCTGCACTGTCTCGCCCCATCTCCCCAGGAACTCTTCCTGCTCGTCCAACTGTTCCAAGCTTTCGGTCAGGTCTTCCCCAAGAGTACCTAGCAGGGCTGAAGGATCTCTTCTACTACGTACAGGTCCCAACCAGCCCCAGCCGAGAGGGAGAAGCCGCGTGGCCTGAAAGCCAGGGATTCTTGCTTTTTCAATCGCGGCTTGGAAATGGCTGGGATTAAAATCCCCCAATCTCCTTGCTCACCCAGCTCCAAGTAGGAACTTGCTGTCACTACCCCATGAAGTTTGCCTGGCTCTTTGCACTAGCCACAATAGGGAGCGAAAGAACTTACTCCTTTTAGTGAAAGTTGCCCAAGCCTTCCATCCTGCTTCTTATCCCTGCCTGGTTAGGACTAAAACAATCACAGCAGGTTACATCTTTTAACTTAGCTACAATTAACCAGTGTTTTTTGTTTATTGCCCAGCCTTTGAAACTGTTCTGGAAAAGATTCCTTAGAGCAGTGGTGGCGAACCTATGGCACGGGTGCCAGAGGCAGCACTCAGAGCCCTCTCTGTGGGCGCGCGCGCCGTCGCCCTAGTTCTAGGCCTTCAGCTGGGTTTTATAAAACTTTTTCGCTTTAGGCCTCCGCCGCCGTGTGCAAAAAAAAAAAAAAAAGATTCAATCAATCAGTCAATTTCAACTTCTCGTGGGAAAAAAAAAAGATCTTGCAAAGTTGGAATTGATTGAACTTTTTAGTCCCACCCAGTCTGCCGTTACCACCGCAGCCACGCCCGCCCAATGGGCCACACCCAGCCAATGGGCCACACTTACCCGGCACTCAACGATGCATAAGTGGGTTTTGGGTTGCAGTTTGGGCACTCGGTCTCTAAAAGGTTCGCCATCACTGCCTTAGAGCAAGGGTCCCCCAACCTTTTTGGCACCAGGGACTGATTTTGGAGAAGACCCTTTTTCCACGGACCAGGGCGGCGGCGGGGGGGGGAGGAGCGCACAACCTAGATCCCGCGCATGTGCAGTTTTGCTTGCCTGCTGCTCACCTCCAGCTATGCGGCCCGCTTTCTAACAGGCCGTGGACCGGTCTCGGTCCGCAGCCCAGGAATTGGGGACTCCGGCCTTAGAGAGGGAACTCTCCATCAACCAGCCTTCCATAGTGCCCATAGTATGAGCATGGCTTTGGGGAACGTCTCTTCGCCTTTTCTATTAAAATTCAGAAATAGCTGTCGCTGCTTCCAGGTGGGCACTTGGGACTCCAGTTGCATTTGCAATTTGGCCTTGAGATATGTAGCTGGTCTTTCGCCTATGGCATCTAATACCGTTTGATATGTACTTCCCCTTGAGTCCCAATTTTCATTACAGCCGATTCTTAAAAGTCCAAGGAACGTACCGTAACTATATCCCTATTGGTATTTCTGAAAAGTGTCCCTAAAACTGGGCTGAGCAAATCTTTGGCACATGGAAGATGTTGCATTAAGATTGGTTGCTGCCGGGATGATATTTTGCTCATGAATCAATAT